AAGACAACTAAACAAACGCGCGGGCAGCCCCGGTGCCGCCTTCGCCAGCCCGGGAAGGTCACCTCAGGAAAAGACAAGTAAAAGCCTCCTCCTCCTCCTGGTTCCCACAGCGGGCTGGGAAGAGGCCTGAAGCGGGAAAAGGTCATATATGCCCTTTCTCTCTGCTTTCTTTTGCTTCAAATAGAAGACAAGCAGGCAGGTGGCCCGATCCTAAGGCGGTTTCAGGGACCTGGCAGCAGTGCTATTTATACACTGCGGTTGAAAAATAGCATTTGAAAGTGCCTCTGTTACATGGTCCTACTTCAAAAAAAAAATCCTGCATCTGTGAAAACTTCCAAAAATTGCTTTCCTCAGTGTAGGAGCCGGATGTATATTTGTTGAATCAGGCACTTAATTAGGTTGAATACAAAGGGCTTTCTCCCCCCACAACGCTTCCTGTTCAACAGCAGTGGCACCCCCCGCTTTCAGCTCACTTGATGTGGGATTTCTGTTGTTATTATTTATTTCCACAAAGATGCTGTAGCAATCAACAACTGATCCCCTTTCTTCCTCCCTGCTCCCCCCTTTTCTAATTCCAATTATTTTCAGGCCAAACTTCTTCTCACTTGCTTGGGCTGGTCTTTTCATTAAAACAAGTTCTTCAGCTGACCCCCAATCATCTGCCCTTCCTGTCCGTTCTTGGTTATGCCAAAACTGTTAGTTCACAACAGGAAACCAATAGCTTGTGCTATCAGGAGACATTTCCTTCACAGCACAAAACGTCTGAATAATAATTTCAAGCAAGGCTTCACCCATTTCCTGTAAAAGGAGGGAAGTTTGCCTATCCCAGTCCCTCAGAGCTCTTTGTTTCCATCCCTTCTGTGACGTAATGCCTTCTGCATGAGGAAGATGGATCATTTTCCCTTAACAGCACTAAATTCAATATCCTGTGTAAAGATTTGGTACTGCTCTTCAGCAACGAAGCATGTAACATTTACAAATAATAAAATGATCTGCTACAGCTCATACTTGCAGTGTCTCTCTTAAAAATAAATTAAATTTGTGGAGCCTAGAAAAAAAAATACAATGAAAATGTGAAGGCTGAGGACTCAGACTGGTTTATTAAATGTTTTACTTGCAAAGCGGAGTGTTTGCATTACTGCGTATCCTCCCGGCAGCTACGAGAGCCTGGCTGGTATCAGAGCTCCTGCCGAGCACCAGGATGCCCCAGACTGAACTATCCATTACGGCACTGCATTTTACAGGAATACCGCAGATAGATAAACTGTCTCAGGCACTGAGTCAACACATCGGTTAAGCACATGCCTAGTGTTACCCCTATATAGCAAAATATTCACCTAAGCAGATGCTGAAGAGCGACTGACTTGCTCAAGTGTTATGCTACATCAAGGTCTTCATGTAATGGCAATCCTGAATTGTTAAACAGGGAATTTTCAAGAAACGCATGTTAGCTCTCCAGTGCTGGAACACGTAGGGATGTTTAGGATACATAAAGCCATCCTTTAAATACACAAAGTAGGCACAGAAATTGCTATTTCCATTGAATCCTATGTTGGTGCTTCTTAACCTGCTTTTGTTAAACGATGCAACCTGGAATCAGATGTAACTTTCTAAGGTTTTTTTTTTTAACGCTTAGTAAAGGCTTCTGATTATCATTTTTTTTTTAATCACTTGTTGCAGGAAGCAAGAAAGCTCAAAAGGAGAATTTGTCAGAGTTTGAATACCTTAAAAATAGCTATTGTCACAATTGTTATTATAATGCAGTCTTAATTACAGCCATTTGCTGTCACATGAAAACCATAATAAATCTCTCTCTCTCTCCATTATTCTGAAGACAATAAATTTTTTATTATATTTGTGTTCTCCGTCTGTTTGTCATTTGAAATGTTTGAGCCAACATGAAATACTGCATCTCTCTCATTCTAACTCACTCATGCCAATCGAGAGGCCCAGCACTGTGAACTTAACCATTTGTTCCCTCGTTCATTAACAGGCATCATCTCCATTTCCTACTCTCTGGCTCATCAGCTGGAAGGCCACAGGTAGAAGGCACCTTCCTTCACACAGACTCTAGTCATGTTTGTGTTAGCCAAATAAACCATTTTAACACCTCTCCACTAGGAACTGTGCTTAAGAATAGCAGCTTTGTGTTTCAAGCTTTGCTCTTGCTTGAAAGGCATGAATGTGGTTTTCTTGCTGAAGGCAGGCAGGACCTTCACATTTCATGTTTTACAGTCCATTTCCAGAAGTACATTTATCAGTTATGGACCAATGCAGCCTGAAGCCTGCACTGAGGAAACATCACCTACCTCGAGAGCCTTCAATCCTCACTCTCTCCATCAGTGCCTGTAAGATGAGACAACGTCAGTCCCTGTGTATTTGTTTCAGAGGCCCCATATACATGAATTTTGATTCATTTCAGCTGGGGCCAAGGGCAGGACGTCCCCTAAGTGTCTTTCACAGATCAGAAAACCATTTCTGAGGAAACAAATCTTTAGAAGATCATCTAGTCCTTCTTCAAATGGCAATGTACAACCCCAGTCAGGACATCTTGTTAAATATCCTTCTCTGAAAGTGATATCACAAGGCAAGGGTTGCAACTTTTTTTTTTTGTAAAGCAAATTTGAATCCCCTTTTATGTGGGAACTTCAGTGGGTTTAAGTTACATTTAATTATCTAACAACATCCCAGTTGGTTGCCCATCCAACGGTCAGTAAGGCCAAATCTGAAAAGCCTTGCCTACTTCTGGGCATCCCCAAAGCATAATGGCTGGTGAGCTGAAGGATGCTCTGAGAAAAGCAGTGCAAACCATTAGTGCCCAAAGAGGCTGGCTATTGGAAGACGGGACACATTGGCTATGTCCAGTTGTGCCTAATGGCAAGAAAAGCTAATGATAAAATCATTCTAATGGTTATTAGAAAAATGCAAACACCAAGGTATAAATATGAATACTTAAAAATCATGAAAAAAAAATCAGGCCAGCCATCAGAGAAAGCTTCCTCTCTAAGCTGTGTTTTAATATCACAGGATCATCTTTTATAGCAACTGTGGGAACACAATGTTCCTTTCAGCTTGTAAAACTACATTTGCAAAGCACTGTGGAAAAGTCTAAGGGCAATATACCACAAATATACTTAGTGACAACTAAGTTCCCTTCTTCCCATTACTAACTTGCATAATGTTGTACATACTTAATAAACTTCTCTGAGAATGCGATGAGAAAGGAGAGCATTTGTGCACAGTACTTACATTATTCTGTGGAATAGACTACTGAACCCTTGTCCCTCTGACAGAACATGTAAATAAATCCTGCTTAAACCTAATTCTCTAGTTAGTGAACTGAGATTCAGGAAAGTTAAGAGACTTGATGAAGGTCACACAGAAATGAATGAGAAAGAAGAGGCTGATGTATCACAGCTTTTTAGCCATTACAGAAGCTGTAGCTGTACATGCTATCATATAGCTTCTGCTATACGTTACACAGTGTCAGCATAAAGATTGTTCTAGACCTCTCTATATTAAACATATCAAAATTGGCAGAGAAGGGGTAGTGCCCTCACTGCAGCAGCAAAGATGCTTTTACCAAGACTGTTTTAGGGGAAGGGAGGGAAGGTGGTAGAGACACAACCTTTATAGGCAGGGAACGCTGGTAGCAAGGAACTATCAAGTGTCCCTACTGTACTCACAGGGGCCGGAAAGGGAGCTAATAGCTGACGTTATTTTTAACACTGGAATTTTCAGGCAAGTCAAATCATAATTTTATCAGACCACTGATATAAACAGTGTATCATATATAACTCTTGGCTAAAAGTCATTTTAGGTGACCACAGCAGTCTTGGAAACTAGATACATCTATAATCTATGCCCCTTAAGTAGGTTAAATCCTTCTAACACCTTTCATGCTAACATTTCTTCTGCATAGTGTTCAGGCTCTCATTATGTTTGACATTTTATTTCCACTATTGAATTGTCTTTTCCTTGTTTTGCTCATTCCCGGTGCATACTGGCCAACCTACAAAAATGTAATTTGAATGTTTTAAACTAGACTAATATATTTTGACTGTATCCTTGCTGACACAGAGGACTGTAATGCAGCCAGCTGTTCATTATTACTGTGTTAAATAAAGGAAAACTCCCCCGTGATATTCTATATACTAACAAATGATGTAATGAAATTCTGGCCATGTGAAAATTCTATTGTTATACCACCCAGCATCCCCGTGAGCAGTCAGAGGCCAAGGCACTCCTCTGAAAGTCCCATTAACACATCGTCCTTAAGACTCTAGAACTGTAATTGGTTTAACCTGATAAGCTGCTCATTCTCTGTACCTTGCATGCTCCTGTAGTACACTTTTCTTCACTGCGTACTGGAGGTAAATTGTGCAAGATAAAGACCGAAAATTCTGTTCCATTATTATGATATACATTTGTATATGCAGGATGTGATAACAAGAAACATGATCTACAGATGACAGGTGGGACTGCTCAGACAGACAAGGACAGAGAGGAAGAGACAGGGAGTAGATGCCATCCATAGAAAGAAGGAAGCTTTTCTTTCAAAAGATTTTGGTGAAGCCAATTAGTCAAGTTCCTATCCTCTTCCTTCCCCATCTGTACTTGTATAGCAGTTGTATCATGCAAGTGATTTAGTTTCTAGCACGTCCCCACACACAGTAGTACGATCACAGCAATGGAGACAGATTAATGCAGTGTTGGGGTGAGACTGAGTGCAGATTGTTTAAGTCAGCCTCAGTACTGAAACCAGCTGCTCACAGAACTGTAGCCAGAAGTGTGAAAAGAAAAGAAAGGGGGAGAAGAATTTATGAAAAAAAGGTGAGCTTTACCTCAGACACTGTCTCACTAGAAACGAATTTTAACCTTGATGTAGGTAGCCATGGGTCAACCCTAAACCCACATGCACCAGGGCAGCCTGAGGTACAACCCAAATGGACTAGGGGAAAACTGGGAGGAAAGCACGGCCAAGTGTCCCCATCACACCTGGGGAGGCAGGAAAGGAGCTAAGAGCAGGCTGTTTTGAACAGTGGCTTTTCATGCAAGAGAGACTGGTTCAAAAAGTGCAACTCCAATTTCAAATTTTAGAATTTATGGAGGAGTGGCCAGTTCTTCAAAGGAAAACTCATGTGTCGGGGGGTGGCTTCCAGCCAGTCACATGCTGGGTAGAAGACACGGTTATGGGACTGAATCACTCAATTAGGCCAATGAGCCATGGAAATTGGGCAGTGCAATACAACTCCAGGTGAATTCAGTGGGAGGTGTTCAAAAAAAAATTAGGCCTTGTGTGAATCCATACTTCTTTCAGGTTTGATATATTTATCTTTTGCCTTTTAATAGTCCATAAGACATGCTAGCTGGTGGACAGTAGATGCCGTCTGCAAAACGGTAAGCCAGAAAAGAGAAAGTTCTTTTAGGTTCGTTGGGCACCTGGGGGGAACAGGACTGAAGGCAGTCATTCCCAATAAACGCTTACAGAATTTGAAGTGGGGCTTTCCAGGGCAGTCCTGCATGATGCTGGGCTTATCAGACTTTCAGAATAATAGGGCCTCTACAGCAAGAACAGGAGCACTGCACCATACCTGACTGTAGGATGTTAGTTCCCTTTTAGCGGATGCTGACTTGCTGGGAGATCCCCAGCTCTTCCACTGGAAGCTAAGGGTTCAGCACGGGCCGCAACAGCGGAGTTTAACTTCTCTGGAGGGCAGGATGTGTGCTGTTCTCCTGTGGAAATGAAAGGCAGCAAATAATTGAAACATTTGCAGAAACTGAAGTTACAGAAGAGATCCTAAAAGTGCATAAGGGCAGCAAGGCTTTGGGCTGCACGAGGCAGACCCATCTGAGCGAGCATTACCTGAATCCGCCGGAACAAGGCAACAGGGCTGTGCAGCTCTGAGCGTGGCCACACAGCCTTACCAGCACACGCACATTAGTCTTATGCAAAGCACCATACTGACATAGCTGTATTATTTCTGGCTCTGGAGACAGTTTGCCTGGAGCCAGAACAGGTATCTCCACTATGCAATGCAGACATACCCCCCCAAGAGCCACTATAAACAGGCTAAAGCAGCCTGGAGGGCTTCTCTGAAAGGAGTGAGATGATGTTTCTTCACTGACTTACAATGACTCATATGACACAGGTACTAACAATATGTCTGAAAACACCAGTTCCAGGCAAGCTTTGCCTGGTTAAGGATTTCAGACTGGGGGGATAAACTTGCATCTGAGCTTGGGCCTTGCTATGCTGCAGTTTTGCCTAGGTGCTATACTCTGTTCCCTCCTCCTGGAGGATTCATTGCAAACATATCAGCAGGCTATCGCCAGCAAAGATGAGGGAGGAGGAAGAACACCATATGGTGTTCTTCCCAAGTGTGTTCATATCACGTGCCTTTTCCATGTTTACATTTCTTGACCATGGTCTGAGCCCAGCCTCAGGCTAACCTTGAACCTTGCAAACTAAACACAGCTCTGCTAGTGCAGCTGGAACAGGTGGGTAAGCCAGATAACATGCAAAGAGCTCGATCTTAAGTGTCTTAAAAAGAAAAAACAACTACTCCGCAAAATATGCACTGCTAGAGCTATCCTTCTTGCTACACTTGACAACATTTTATTCTGAAAAGGGCAATGAAGTATGTTCACCACCATATATCATGAAGCTGAATGTAAAAGTCTTACAGTTTTATTACCCAAATAGGGTACAGGACACTGGCACCTTAAGGACAGAGGCAGACGGCTGACTCACCCACCCTTGCTTCCAGCCCAGCAACAGCCTGGGGGAACTATGCAGCAGAGAGGCTGTTACATGGGTCTGCTCCTGCTCCATAGTCTGCCTGGAGGAAATAAATACATATTCCTTTCCTGCATCCTGGATGGTGTCTGCTCTGAGCAGTGCTAAAGCTGTCCAAATCCCTCCAAGCTGTGTCTGCGCTTGAGCTCCCAAAAGAGCCACTGACCTAACTGTAGCACCTGGGGGAACGTTGTGCTAAAATTCCCATGCGCAGACATAACGGTGAAGCTGCAGGCTGTGATCCAGGATCTGAGCCCTCATGAAGCGGTTTTACTTCTGCAGGGTAACTAGTGGTGTAAACGAATGGGTAAGAATAAAAGAGAGCTTAATTCATAACATGGCCTCTGAGATTGTCTATTCATGAAATACATGTTCTATATAAACTTTATTTTATTTTTCATTCACTTCATTTTTAAACAAACAGAACCGCCCCCCGACCCAGAAGATGGATAACATTTTATGAAGTATTTTGGCAGAAGACAAAGATTATTGTATTTATTGGCGACATCATTATGCGTTAAAGTGTAAAGGAAAAAAAATTAAAGCTATTAGAAAGAGGTCAAATTCCAACCATTTCTCTAGAGTAAGTTTCAGTCAGTTTGATGTCATTTTTCAAAAGAGGTTTTACATTTATAAAATCTAATGAGGTTAATTTGAAACTGAATGAGCTAATCATTGGTTTGATACCCTGGACACAGCAAATTCACTGTTTCTCTTGCTGTGATGAGGTTATTTATCATCCTTCTTCTACTACCCTGCCAAAAGGATCATTTGTATTTTAGATGGAGGTCCTGACCTCCATATTCTTGAAGGCTTGTGCTGCTCAGTTGTGTTAACGCTGGAAAAACCATCTCTGGGAGCATCACCCCTTTCATGTGGAATGACATCGCCAATTAATAAAACGCACTGTGTCTTGAATGCTCTCTTTGCTAGTCTAGGGTAGGGGCATCAACCCTAGGCCCTTGCCTGAGCGACCGTCTGACATTATTCATGGTGCCAGGATAAGAACAAGTTGCAACTGAGGCCACCCATGCTACAGTCCAGGTTGATAAAGGTGTTCAGCATTGTAATGCTTCAGCTGGGATCCATCTTTCCAGAGAATGAAGTATAAATTCTACCATATATAAGGTTTTTTTTTCCCTGTGGCCTTTCTGATATCATTTATAGAACAACTCCCAGGAGGTGCTGAATTTGAATACTTCCGAAATTTGCAGCTTTCACTTGGTGACTCTGAAGCACATCTAAATTATAGAAGGCAGAAAAAGTGAAAATAATGGCTTGCCTTCCACTTACAGACCATTGAGTTGAATCACATTGCCATGTAAGAGTTGCTCCGTGGCATATTTGAATGGGACTCGTGGTTTCAGTATCTTTCCTTAGAGATGCAGCATCAGAGCTCCTCTCCCATCAAGCCCAGCACAACCAAAACCCACTAACACAGCCTACAAAGAGGGTGAGAACTGAGCGGGGGCAGCATCCACCTTGCCTCGAGACAGCCGTTTGCTATCCAGTCAATCAACACTGCCATTTGCATATCCGCTCCAGAAAGGGGAAACATACAGGAAGAGGACAACATACGAGAATAAATTCCACAACAGTTATTTCCATTTTAGTATCAGTTGAGGGAAAAAGAAAAAAAACCTCAGTCCAAAACCTCTGTGCCCTGTCCACAACTCAAACTGACAAGATGACTGTGTAATACTGCTGCCTTCCTTCTTCCCAGCAAAACTACCATGTACCTAGATACTACTGTGCAGCAAATCCTGAGAAGACCCAGGGTCAACAGTCCTCCTAATCTTCATTCTCTTCCCACAGCTCAGTCTGTGTCCCACATCACTAGGCTTCCCCTCCACACAGTTTCCCCCTTTTCCCATTCCCGTCTCTGCCCCAACACAGGGCCCTGTAACCACTCACGAACCAGCCACTATTCCCTCCATCCGCCTTCTTTCAGAGGCCTGGGGAAACACGTGGGCCTGCAAGGAGGAACTGCTTTTCTCTTAGGTATTTTGCTATCTGGACCAGAGCGTTTTGAGCTAATGCCTTTTAAACTGTGAGAAAATAGCTACCATAATACAATGGCTATCTCCACCCTAGAGCCTGTGGTTTTCCCAAACCACAAATTATGACTAGATGGCGGCCAAGTTCCCTACTTTATACAGATATTGCAGTGTATATAGCTATATATATATATTACAGTATATTCATACTTCTTAAATAGATAATGAATGAAACTACAAGTTATGTCTTTTACATACATAAGAAATTGATATAGGCTAGTTCTCTCTGCAGGTTACAAAACGCCAGCAACTTTTCTGAGAGGAAAAAGCACCAGTAAAGACCTCTGTTACATGATTAAACGCACTTATTATGAAACTCTGCCTAACCAAGGACTTTTGCACATTGGCTTGAAACTACAGCTGTAAGCTGTACAAAGGAAATGACAACAGGATAGAAAGGTCTAGGGAATATTCAATATTTACTAAACAAAGGTCTTTACTTGAGCATGTGTCCAGTCATACCATAAGTATTTGACAGGAAGAGCTCCCCGTGCTTGGACAGTCTAGAGAGTCATTGCTGTCATTTTGAAGTGCACATGCAATAAATTATCTTGAACTAATATTCCTGCAATAGCAGGATTTTTTCTCTACTTTTAAATTGTGGATTCAAGCTAGAAAGGAACAGGCAAGCCAAAAGGTGCTGATAAATACTGGAACAAAACCTGCAGCTGTTTTTATCACTCTTTTGAGTTCTCCGAAAGACCCATAATCATTTTGAGAAGTTAATTTCACACCTTACTTGTTCAAAGAAACTCATTTCAGAAAGAGAGTTTTCAAGCTCAGGCCTGAACTGGCGTTAAAATTGCACCAACTCACTGAAAAGGATTTTACAACTTCATTTGACTTCTAGGGTGACTAGAGAGCATTTCAGAACATTTTTAATATCACTAGGTATGAGTTACTCTTTAAACCCAACATGGTTATGTCCTTTGCTTGGAAACTAAAGAAATGAGTGATTGTAAAATATTATTTGTGTTCTGTGTTACGGTGTTTGCCAGATGACAGCGTGCAAGGGGTCCTATGTCTAATTTGGCCATATGGTGTTCGGTGCTGCAGTGACAGGCTGCCGCCTTTTAGGAACATTTTGTCTGAAGGGATCACATAGGCAAAGGGTGAGTGAGATTACCAGCCCCATGTTGGAGATAGCCAGAAGAAATTAAATTTGCCCAGGGTCAGAAAGCCAAGCTGTGGTACAGCAGGAAACTAAGCCCAGACCTCCTGAGGTCCATTGTGCGCCCTTGATCTGCGGTGACTCACAGCTAACTCATGGTCCATTAAGGATAGCCTAGATTTCAGTTACCACAGATTAACCCCTCTCCCCTTTAGGAGATTAACCCCTTTGTGGTAGTTTTCTGGGACCATTCAAGTGATCACATTTTCCCGGAACACTTGTTTGCAGAAATTAATTTTAATCTGCAGACATCATGGCTTACAGAAAATTACAAGGGACATAAGAGAAGAGCCATAATCCCACGCCACTCATCTGACTCAGTCCCACGTAAGCGACAGCTCCAGTCCAGATGAGCCCCATTTGGAAAGACCTTTAATTTCCTAACTGTAATTCAGAGGAACTTTTGACCTTTTTGGGCTTGCTCCTTGACAAGAGTAAGAGCTAGTTTTAAAATAAATGATGAATAACTGAGTTTTACTAATCTTCAAAGTAGAATCAACTAGGGAGGTGGGAGGAGCCCATGAATGCTTTTGCTTGCAATTTTTTCTGCTCCCATCTTACCAGGGTCCCCTGTCATCATTGCATTCCCTGAACTTTCCCATCATTAATTTACTTTTTTTTCAGAGGTGTCTCTACTCCTTTTCT